GTACCTGTCTAACCATAAACTAGCAGCTAGTGAGCAGGAAGAAAGTGTTTAGTTAAATCATAGGTAGCTCATGGGAGGTAGCTCAAAATGATCAGCACAGGAATGAAACTAAGAGACTGGACGCTGAAGCCCTAGCAGTGCTCACTGTTGGTGCATGATGCATGCCATGCGCCTTGAACACACCTACCACACGCTCCGCCTGTTGGCATGCAGCCTCAGCATGGCACAAGTAAATAAATGCATCAGGACCACACCCTATGTTCCTCGTTGCAGAACTGGCAAGGACCCCAAATGCGCACACTCTCCCACAGAGAGATGCCAAACGACAGCCTATGGAAAGTTCCCTGTGAGAGACGTACAGCTAACAGGGCAGCACAGGCATAAGAGTCTGCTGGATCAGGTCAAAGGCCCACCTAGTCCAGCATCCTCTTTACACAGAGGCCACCCTGATGTCCCAGGGGGAACCTTCAAGCAGGACCTCAGCCCAAGAGGATTCTGGTACAGTCAAACCTTGGTTGACACACGCAATCCGTTCTGGAAGCCCATTCAGCTTCTGAAACATTCAACAACCAAGGGGCAACTTCTGTGTGGTTGCAAGAGCTTCTTGCACACAAGCAGAAATCACACCGGACGTTGGGGTTCTGAAAAATGTTAAAAAACCAGAACACTTCTGGGTTTTCGGCATTCGGCAGCCGAAACATATGTTAACCGAGGTGCTCAAGAACTGAGGTTGGACTGTATTTGAAAGCATTACTGCCTCCAACCATGGGGCAGGGCATAGCTCTCATGAATAGTAGCCATCAATAGTTTCATCTGTCATAAATGGGTGCAATCGTCTTGGAAAGCCATTGCGTGACTGAGCACATGATCCTACCAGTTACTCTAGGCTTCCTATTTGGAGAAGATGCCTAAGGGTTGTTCTCCTGCTGCTTCCAGCCACTCTGGCAGTACAATGTGAAAATGCTCATCATCTATTTCCCATCCAAACTACACATTATGTTTTTGGTTTCTTTGCTGCATAAACAGCCAAGCTAACATTATGAGGGTCAAAATCCTTTTTTTAAGAAAACCACAAAAGTTGATGTTATTATATTGACAGTATGTGAAACCGGGCCACAATTTAAACAAAAACAAAAAAGCTATAACTCAAAGTGCAGGAGGGGAAAAGAGGGCATTTCTGTATTTCTCTATGCTGTTTAATTTCTCTTTTCAGATCACACTTCCTCCCTGCTGCAGTTTGCTTTTCTGTGAACTCCAGTTCCCAGCAACCTTTGCACTTCCCACAGAAACGATTAACACCTGGCCTCATTTAGCTGAGCAAACACCCAAGTGGGACAGTGAAGGGGCTTGAGATGCAGAAGGAAAGTCTGTGAATTCACCACTGCCTGTCTGAAGGGGTGAGCTGGAGCCTACCAAGAACTCAAAATAAGACATGCTGAGATTGGGTAGAAATTTCTGAACTAGGGGTCCCTGTTTTTCCCTTCTTTCTTCACCTTTATGGCATTTGAAATCTCAAATGTAGACCTGCCTTATTCCTAAAAAGACCTGGGTGAGTCAAAGGAGGCTGGCATTCATCTGGAGGAATGAGAAAGTGACAACAAGGGGGTCCCCAGTTTGATGGGAGGAGGAATATGGTAAGCAAGGAAAAATGCAAGAGAGGGAATTCTCCCCATGGATGGGTAAACAGGGGTGGGGTCTTGGCTTTGGCATTAATTAAATATTTCACTAAGGGGGAGCGTCCATGTAGGAGCATGGTTGCTTAAGGGAGAGTCCTTGGGGAGCTGCAACTCAGAGTCAATATCAGAAGGGAAAAGAGGGACAGGGTGTGTATAAGGGCTTCTGCAGATGGAGGATGCCACATTTAAGGAGCAAAAATGCTGCATTTCGTAGAACAAAGATCAACAAGGTCTTAGAAGGAAGGAATGCGGTCAAATGCGAGAATTCCGGGGGGGCCACCAGGTGGCGCGTTGGAAGATGGCTGACAATAACATCTCTCTGACCCATACGAGGTACTAAGGGGCTGCTATGGGAAGTAGGCAGCCTTCCTAATGCCCCCCCAGGATGTGGGGGGGCTCTACCCTGCCAGTGGTGTTCATAATGCACCCCCTGATACGAGTGATGGGGGTGCCGAACACTTGGCAAAAGGCCCTCGGTGAAGTCAGATCTTCCTGATGCCGATTCCAATCAGCGAGTGCTGGTTGCTTCAGCTTGGAATTATAATTGGAAACATATGATTGGAAATAAAGCTGAAAGCACATACATCAAGTAAAACTCGAAGATAAGACTGCTGATTTATGGATCTCTGTGACCAGGAGTGACGGACGGATAAGTAAATCTTCTGATGAATTACCACAAGGAGATTGTATGTTTGGAACGAAGGGGGGGTGGAGGAAAAAACTCTTTTTTTCCCCTGCATGATGTGACATAAATAACCCTTCACCCCAGATAGAAACAAGATCGTTGCGTTTTTATGAATCACAGGCAGGATTTTAAGAACTATGTGGGATGGATTAAAACAGGAAAGAAGACTGGAGAATGGTGAGAAAAGTGGAAAATTCTTATGACGCAGTTAAAATATGGCGTCTCGCTAAGACAGGCTTGTCGGAGGAAGAAGGACTGGGGGAGGAGAATCAGGACTGTTCGAACGAGAAGGAATGTTGGAATGCAAGTTTGACCTGACAGAGCCCCCAGACTCATTTGATTTATTTGAAAAATAAAGGACAGATCGGAGACTAATCTTGTGTATGGAAGCGTTGTACAGAGGCTGTCTCTGATCGATATGATTTTTGGAAGAGTACAAAAATCCACATAGAATGCCAGCTTTCAACCTGCTTGTGAAAATCATCAGAGATCGCAAAGAAAGGAATTTATGATAACAACAGGAAGAGAAAGGAAGTAATAAAGGACTATCCGGATCAAACTGGACAGAACTGTCTAATGAAAGCAGTAAGATAAGTGATGCTGTTTTGGACTCGAGCCGAGCTTGATGTATGGGCACCCCCAACAAAATTTAAAATTTGGCTGTATAATTTGGAACTAATGTGATATGATAATGTGATGTGATTGGCCTGTTAATAAAAATTATTTAAAAAAAAAAAAATAGAGGGAAGGAATGCGGTTCAGTGGGAGAGTACCTGCTTTGCATTGCAGATGGTTGCAGGTTCAATTCAGTCTGTGCAGACAGTCCTAAATTTAAGTGGCCAACATTCCTATTCTCTTGTGTAGCATCATGAAGGAAATATTATATTGTGAGCTATTTTCATAAAACAATAACATGCGGAATGTCACAAATCTAGGGTACATATGCAGCACTCAAAGTAGCCTACCGAGAACTCAAGATAAGACGTGCTGAGATTGGGCAGAAAATTCTGAACTGGGGGTGCCTGTTTTCCCCCTCTTTCTTCTCCTTTGTGGAATTTGAAATGCAGACTTGATCTCACACCTCTGCAAGGGGCTGTTTCTCTGGGCCTTGATTGCCTAAGGGTGAGTCCTTGTGGGGCTGCAACCCAGAGTCAATAACAGAAGGGGAAAGAGGGACTGTTAAGTTGTGGGTGAACATAGCAGAAGACACAGCGATTCTTCAAACAGCTCTTCTTTATTCAGATGTCAGAACAGAACTAAGCTGAGGGGCTCAGTCAGCCTGCTTATATAGCGCTCCAGAACAATTGTAACTGTTGCCATTTTCTAAAACTATCCAATCAGTGAACGTCACTTTTCGATCCTTCATTTGCATACAAAACTATCCAATCACTGAACGTCACTTTTCAATCCTTCATTTGCATAACTATCTACAGTATCCCCCTGCTGGCCCAGGGTGAGAACTTCAGTACATAACAGGGACAGGATGTGTTTTGGGGCTTCTGCAGGTAAAGGTTGCTACATTTCAGGAGCAAATATCAACAGAGTCTTAGGTGGAAGGAATGAAGATCAACGATAGGGGGGGATCATGAAGGAAAGGTTGGCATGCTTGTGTGTCGATCATGTTCAATGTCCAGACTATTTATATTCCAAATAGCTTTACTTTCAGAAACATAACTGAGAAGATCATATATCTACAATCTCATGTTTGTTCACTTTGTCCCTTTTAGAAAGCACAGATTTCTCCCTGTTAATGTTTAGGGATTTTCCTCTCTCTGTTTCACTTCAGACAGATCACACGGACACAACACTGCCCTCGGCAGCATCCCTAAGGGGACCTGGGTGAGTCAAAGGATGACAGCCCTTTGGAAAAATGAGAAAGTGAAAACAAGGGATTCCTCATTGTGCAGGAGGAGGAATGTGGGTAGCAAGGAAGGGTGCAAGAGAGATATTTCTTCCCCAGGGAGGTTGAGATGGGGTGAGATCCAGAAGGCAGCCTCTTGCCTTTTGTGTTCTGCGTTATTTACATTTTTCACTAAGGGGGAGCTTATTTAAGGAAGAGCTGCACCCCGGAATCCACAACAGAAATGAAAAGACAGACAGGATGTGTATTAGGGCTTCTGCAGGTGGAGGTTGTGACATGTCCTGGAGCAAAGATTAAAAGCGTCTTAGGCGGAAGGAACGCAGCTCAATGGTAGAGTGCCTGCCTTGCATTGCAGAAGGTGGCAAGTTCAATCCCCAGTATCTCCATGTAGGGCTTGGGAGAGGCTTCCCATATGAAACCCTGGGAGCTGCTGCCTGTCAGTATAGACAGTACTAAGCTAAGTGGCCAAAGTTACTATTCTCTTGTGTACGTGACGAACATGAAGGAAAAGATTCATTTGGGAGCTATTTTCCTAAAACAGTAAGATGGAGAGTGTCTAGTGTACATATGGGACACACAATGTATCCTTTGAAGGCTGAGCTGAACAGGATACTTCTTATGCTTGTAATTCTCTGTATTTCCTGTTTCTCAAGATACCTTGTTTCAAACAATCTACTTTCTCAAACAGGCAAAGGGAAAGCGGCAACCAGTAGATAAAGCAGAAGACGCCCGTGCTTACAAAGAAGGTTGCAAGGAGCCCAGTTGGACCACAGCCAGGATGATGATGTTTGATACTTGCAAGAAGCCAGACCTGTGCATTGTCTATGGGGAACCCATCAGGCAAAAGCCCATCATCCACAAGAGAACGGGGGGTCAGCAGGAAGCCCACCCAGTTGAGGAGGAGGATGTACCCCTTCTTCACGGAGGAAGTTGCAGATCCCCCTGGGAAATCACAGTACAGACAATTCCTGGTCCTGCTAAGGAGCAGGATGTGTGCATTGTGGGTGAGGAGAACATCTGGCACTACCCCAACACCTGCGAGAGAAATATGTGTTTGCAGAAAATCAGCTCAGGGGACTGTCCAGTTTACAGCAAAGGAGACTCCAGTGTCCCAAGTAAAACTCCAGCCCAGGGTGTTGTTGATGCCACAGCCAGGATGATGATGCTTGATACTTCTTGGGAGCCAGACCTGTGCATTGTCTATGGGGAACCCATCAGGCCAAAGGCCATCATCCATAAGAGAACTGAGGGTCAGCAGGAAGCCCACCCAGTCGAGGAGGAGGAGGAGGATGTACCCCTTCTTTGTGGAGGAAGTTGCAGATCCCCCTGGGAAATCATGTTGGAGACAGTTCCTGGTGCTGCTGAGGAGCAGGATGTGTGCATTGTAGGTGAGGATAACATCTGGCACAACCCCAACATCTGTGAGAGAAAAGCGTGTTTGCAGGACACCCACTCAGTGGAGAGTCCCGTTCACAGCAAACTAGATTCCAGAGTCCCCAGTGAACCTCCATTCCAGACTGTTGTTGATGCTGCTAAGGGACAAGACATCTGCACTGTGCCCATTTTTCAAGGAACAGCCCCCAGTGAAGCCACAGCTCAGAGAGATATGGATACTGGTAAGTAATGAGACTCCTGGGTAATGCATATTGGGGATGGAGGTCCCAGGCAGAATTGCTTCTTAGCTCCAGGTCTTAATGACAAGAATACAAGGCTATTTTTGAGGTCATCCCATGCTACAGCAACTTACAATAGACCCACTAAAAGTAATGGACGGACATAGAACCCAATCTTGTGAAGAAATTGTTTTGTTTGCTGTTTACAACTACTTTCCCTATGTTCATAGTCTGCTACTTTTGCTGTATTGTCTGCTCTTGAGCATTAGAAAAGGTTCAATGCATCAAGAATTAGAAATCTTGATCTAACCTAATGATGGACAAATAATATAGCTATGCTTCCTAAAGCCAAGTTAAGCTTCTACCTGGAGACTGAGATAATATTTGCTCTAAAGAATAGGATCTCTACAGGTAGGAACTTGCTGGTGAATCTGACAGAATGGAAAACCAGACTAAGGCTATTGAGCAGAGTGGAATGAAAGGTCACCCATGATGGCAACTCATTGCCCGCTTTGGCAGCAATGGCCCCAAAAGTGTAACAAAATACGAAATATATTAGATTGAATCACTCTGTTTCCATCTCTCTATAACATCCATGTTTTCCTTCTCTCTTATCTAGCAGGTGTTGTGCAATGGAGAGAGAACAGAAGGAAATCTTCAAAAAAAGCACAGGATGAGATGGTGGAGCAGAACTACCTGAGTCAGGATGGACCATGGAGGGGAAAGAGAAGCCACACAGATCGGAATACAGCTGAATCCCTTGTTCCTCATAGTAGCCTCTTCACTGTGCAAGGAGAACAGCCAGAAAACAGAGATGCTTTGAAAGCATTCACAGAGGAGAAAACAATTCAAAGCGCAGAGTCTGGAGGAATTAGCAGTGGGAGCAGGAACAATGGAAACAGCCCCACATGCCCTACAGAGGTGAAGCGATTTACTTGTTTGGAGTGTGGAAGGAGCTTCAGGAATCAGAAGCAGTTTGCTGCCCATCAGAAGATTCATACAGGACAGAAACCTCATAAATGTGCAGACTGTGGAACAAGCTTCCGCACGAAATGGAAACTTAAAGTACATGAAAGAATCCACACAGGGGAGAAACCTTTCAAATGTTCAGAGTGTGAGAAAAGCTTCACTGACCACTCAAACCTTTCTAGACATACAAGAACTCACACAGGGGAGAAGCCTTACAAATGTTCGGAGTGCGATAAATGTTTCGCACACAACTTCCACCTTGCAGTACATAAAAGAACTCACAAAGGGGAGAAGCCTTTCAAATGTTCAGAGTGCGAAAAAAGCTTCACTGACAGCTCATACCTTACAGTACATAAAAGAACCCACACAGGGGAGAAGCCCTACAAATGTTCTGTGTGTGGGAAACATTTCGCACATATCTCAAACCTTAAAGTACATGAAAGAACTCACACAGGGGAGAAACCTTTCAAATGTTCAGAGTGTGAGAAAAGCTTCACTGACAGCTCAAGCCTTACTAAACATAAAAGAACTCACACAGGGCAGAAACCTTTCTAATGTTCAGTCTGTAATAAATGTTTTGCTAAGATGTCAAACCTTACTAGACATCAGAGAATTCACAAAGGGCAGAAACCCCGTGAATGCTCAGTGTGTGGTAAGTGTGTCAGTCAGAAATCAAACCTTACTAAATATCTAAAACTTCACAGGAGGAAGACACCTGGGTAGAAAAAGCTTTAGTAAGAGCTCAAATCTTCTTAGTCAACAGATAATTAACACAAAAAGGTATAAATGTTCAGGTTGCGGGGAAAACTATACTAAGTGGTCATATCCTACCAAACATAAAGAATACCACAGAAAGCAGAGAAACCTTATTAATGCTCAGTGTACAGAAAATGTTTCAGCAGCAGGTCAGTCCTTACTAGACATAAGAGAATCATACACAGATGGAACAAAGTCTATGCATGTTCCAAGTGCAGTCAATGTTTCAGTTCAAGGGGACACACATCAAAGAACCCACACAGAACCTTTTCAATGCTCAGAGTGTAGAAAAGCCTTCAGTCAGGAGGCAAATCTCCTTAAACATCAAAGAACTCACATAAGAGAGAAACCCTACTTCAGCTTCAGTGAGAGCGGAGGTCTTTCCAGACATACAAGGTCTTCCCATATAGGGGAGAAACTGTACAATTGTGAACAATGTGGAAAGAGCTTCACCCGTAAATCAGACCTCAAGAGGCATCAAGAGCACTACACAAAGGAGACACCCAACCAGGGTTCAAATCTCAGTGAGAGTTTAGATAATGAATCGAGACCTCATGAAGGTGAGAACGCACAGCGGATGGAAACCATGTAACTTCTTCAACTATGCTAAGAAGGTTGCATCCACACAATACTTTTAAAGCTTCCTCCCAGGGAATCCTGGGAACTTCATTTCTTAAGGGAGCGGGCAATTGTAAGTCCATAGACTTACAGTACAAACTACTTTTCCCATCATTCTTTGGATGAAGCCATGGCAACAGTTATAAATGTATGGTGTGAATGTGACCTCAGTCTTGGCACTCATCTTTTTGGCATCACAGGAGCCACCCAGAGGCTACATTCCCCAAACCTTCAAATACACACACATAATCCATGCTTTGAGAGGGTTCTTGGGTCTTTTTAGTGACGAGAACTCATTGCCTCAGGTTTTGTTGTCCATTTGTGCTGTGGATTTCTTGTGACATTTTTTTGTTTAAAAAAGAAGCTTAATCCACAGAAAAGAGAAGCATTTTAAATGCTCAAAATGTGAGCAGGGCTTCCAGTTCAACACGCAGCTCAACGCACACCAGAGAACCCCTGAAGTGGAAAAAACATACAAATGCTCAAAATGCGACAAGGACTTTACTTCTCCGTTTGATCTCATTAAACATAACAGGAAGCACATTGAAGAAGGACCTCACAAATGCTCAGAATGCGGAGAGAGCTTCAGGTGCAGCACATCCCTTATGGCACATCAGAGAATTCATAGAGGAGAGGAGCCAGATTTTGGCCTGAGCCATGCTTCTGAACCAAGTCTTGTTGAACATAATGTAACGTGCCCTGAAAAGAAATGTTTCGTATGTTCCATTTGTTCCAAAACATTTGGGTGCAGCAGAAGCCTTGCGTTACATCAACTGAAGCATAAATAGGAGACATTGCAGAGCTTCTCAGGCTGAAGCAAGACCCTTTTTAAAATATCCAATTAATCAGCACAAGACAACTCCCACTGAATAACCCACAAGTGTGGGGAAAGCTTTTATGATAGTGCACTCATTTCACGTCAGTTTAATTGGCACAAGACAGCAATGGAGAGGCAGAGAAAGGTTGCAAATGCTTCTGTTTCTCCATTCTTCTACTTCAGTGTATTTTTCCTGTCATGGTACTTCTTTTTAAATGCATGTTTTTATTTGGGACTTGCTTCAATAAGTATTTTAATGTGTTTGCTCTATTCATCAATAAATTTTGTATGTTTTTTATTCCTTTTGCTTCTCTTTTTATTACTCTTGCCTCCTGTCAAGGTTGCACTTTTAAATATTCTGCTGCAGCATTTATTAAATTGTTAGTTTGGGGTTTTTGGTACGGCTTTTCTCATAGCACATGGCTGCACAACCTCTGGCCTGTGGGCCAATCTGTATTCCCCAAGCCATGGCTGCCCAGCATTGAAGGAAGGCTAACAGGCACCCGGGGTGGGGCAAATCGCCGGTGACGCATGCGTGGCATCGCTATGTATGGCGCAGGCGAGTGGCGCCACGCATGTGCTGTACATAGCGGTTTGCCACCGCTTGCTCTTGAGCACCATATGGATGGTGGCAGGATCCTCCACTTGCAGCTGTAGCGCTGGCAGAGGGATCCCACCACCATCCGTATGGCGCTCAAGCGGCACCAGTGGCAAACCGCTATGTACGGCACATGCGCGGCACTGCGCACATGCCCTGTATGGAGAGGTGCTGTGTATGCCCTGTACGGAGAGACGCCGCACATGTGCCGTACATAGCGGTTTGCCCCCAGCACCACTCGACCACCGTAAGGACACTGGCGGGATCCTCTGCACATGGGGCAGGGCATAGCTCTCATGAATAGTAGCCATCAATAGTTTCATCTGTCATAAATGGGTGCAATCCTCTTGGAAAGCCATTGCGTGACTGAGCACATGATCCTACCAGTTACCCTAGGCTTCCGATTTGGAGAGGATGCCTAAGGGTTGTTCTGCTGCTGCTTCCAGCCACTCTGGGAGTACAATGTGAAAATGCTCATCATCTATTTCCCACCCAAACTACACATTATGTTTTTGGTTTCTTTGCTGCATAAACAAACAACCAATTGTGTGGAATGATGGCTGTTGTGGTCCTACAAACATTGGAAGAGTCACAGGTCCCTCACCACAAGTATATATGTTTACGCTTGTACTGTATGTACTGTTACAGGCTTTTGGGAAGTCAGTCTGGATGATACCCATGAGTGCCTTTCATTTTTTTTTAGAATAATTTTTATTGAATTTTTCCATATTTCATTTAATTCAATACACATATTCACAACTTGTATTATTTGCTCAAAATGAGCTTAGACTTCTTTCTATCTCTCTTTCTGACATCCCTATAGTCTATAACTTATTTTTCGCATTCCCGAAGTCATTTCTTTATCGTATAGTCACCTTAAAATATCACATTCATGTTTACAAATCAACATCTTAATTTCATATTACAAAACACTTCACGTTAATGCTACAAATGTTTTTAAATGAGTACAATTTTCTTTCAGGTAAATAATAAATTTGCTCCAGTCCTTTTGATATTTTTCTTCAGGCCGATTCCTGATTCTCCCCGTCAGCTTCGCCAACTCCACAAATTCTACCATTTTTATTCTCCAGTCTTCCAGTGTAGGGAGTACTTGCTGCTTCCACCTTTGAGCCAGGAGGGTTCTCGCTGCTGTTGTGGCATACATAAATAAATTTACATCTTTTTTATAAATTTCTTCCTCAGTTAGCCCTAATAAAGATGCCTCTGGTTTTTTACTGAAGTTATATTTTAGTATCTTTTTTAGTTCATTGTAAATAATGTCCCCAAAAGCCTTAACCTTAGCACAGGACCACCACATATGTAGGAAGTTCCCTTCCTTCACCTTACATTTCCAACATAATTTGTCCTGGCACCTATACATTTTGGCCGGCTTACCCGGGGTGATGTACCAACGGTACATCATTTTCATTAGATTCTCTTGAAGAGCCACACATGCAGTAAATTTAATTGTTTTATTCCACATTACCTCCCATCTCTCAAAAGCAATATTGTGTCCCAAATCTTGTGCCCATCTTATCATTGTGCTTTTTACCTCCTCATCCTTTGTGTTCCATTCTAATAATACTTTATACATTTTTGACATCACTTTCTTTTTACTGCCCAACAATTCTGTTTCTATTTTAGATTTAGTATTGCTAAATCCATTACTTTTGTAATCTTTCCTGAAAACATCTTGTAATTGATGATATTGTAGCCAATCAGTTAGTTTTCCCCTCAATTCTTCAAATGATTTTAGTTTTAGTTTGCCGTCAATTTCTTCCCCTAAGTCTCTAAATTTCGCCCACTCCTTCCCCATATTCTTCTTTTTTACAGCAAATGCCTCCAATGGCGAAATCCACCATGGAGTTTTTCTTTCTAACAGGTTTTTATGTCTATTCCGTACTTCATACAGGGATTTTCTAATAAAATGGTGCAGAAATCCTTTATGTACATTCACCTTCCCGTACCAGATGCCATCCGAACCTGTTATCGAAACCTTCTAGATCTAATATCTCCTCATTGTCAAATGTCATATAATCTCTCAACCAACTCAGACAAGCTGCTTCGTAATAAATTTTTAGATCTGGCTGGAAAAAGCCGCCTCTTTCTTTTGCATCAGTCAGGATTTTATATTTAATCCTGGGTTTCTTTCCCAGCCAGATAAATTTAGATATCCACTTTCTCCAAGTTTCGAATTGCTTTGTTCCACATATTAACCCATGAGTGCCTTTCAGGTCTACGATCCTGTATCTGTGAGTTTAAAATCTAGTAGAAGCTACTGCCGCTGCTGAACCAGTCAGACTGTCTCTTTCTAAGCTAATGGACTAAGCTGACCAGTTAAGTACCGCCATCTACATGTCCAATGAGATGGCTGAATGCTGCATCATCCTAGGGTGGAGAACAATAGCCCTGGCAACAACAAATTCAAAACAAAACAAAACAAGAAGGCCATAAATCAATGTGCACAGGGAAAAGAGGATCTCCATCCATCTATCTATCTATATCTATCTATCTATCTATCTATCTATCTATCTATCTATCATCTATCTATATCTCTATCTATCTCTATACCTCTACTGTCTGAGTTCTCTTTTCAGATCACACTTCCTCCCTGCTGCAGTTTGCTTTTCTGTGAACTCCAATTCCCAGCAATCTTTGCACTTCCCACATAAACGATCAACACCTGGCCTCATTTATCTGAGCCAACACCCAAGTGGGTTAATGAAGGGGCTTGAGATGAAGAAGGAAAGTCTGTGAATTCACCAGTGTTTACCAGAAGGGGTGAGCTGAAGCCTACCAAGAACTCAAGAGAAGACATGCTGGGATTTGGGTAGAAAATTCTGAACTGGGGGTCCCTGTTTTCCCCCTCACCTTTGTGGCACTTAAATGCAGACTTGATCTCACAAGGGGCTGCTGCTCTGGGCCTCGAGTGCAGACCTGCCGTAGTCCTAAGGGGACCTGGGTGAGTCAAAGGAGGCTGGCATTCCTCTGGAGCAGGCACGTTCAACAGGTAGAGTGTGATCTACCGGTAGATCACCGAACGTCTGTGGTAGCTCACTGGTAGATCATGGGTAAACTGGGGTGGCGTCAAGAAGGTAGCCTCTTGCCTTTTGCATTAATTAAACATATCACTAAGGGGGAGCGTCCAAGTAGGAGCATGATTGCTTAAGGGAGAGTCCTTGGGGAAGTGCAATAACAGAAGGGAAAAGAGGGAAAGGGTGTGTTTTAGGTCTTCTGCAGGTGGAGGAATCTACATTTCTGGAGCAAATATCAACAGAGTCTTAGGGGGAAGTGAAAACAAGGGATTTCTCATTGTGCAGGAGGAGGAATGTGGGTGGCAAGGAAGGGTGCAAGAGAGAGATTTCTTCCCCTGGGAAGTTGAGATGGGGTGGGGTCCGGAAGGCAGTCTCTTGCCTTTTGTGTTCTGCGTTATTTACATATTTCACTAAGGGGGTAGCTTGTTTAAGGAAGAGCTGCAGCCCAGAATACACAACAGAAAGGAAAAGACGGACAGGATGTGTATTAGGGCTTCTGCAGGTGGAGGTGGCGACATTTCCTGGAGCAAAGATTAAAAGCGTCTTAGGCGGAAGAAACGCAGCTCAATGTTAGAGTGCCTGCCTTGCATTGCTGAAGGTGGCAAGTTCAATCCCCAGAATCTCCATGTAGGACTTGGGAGAGGCTTCCTGTAAGAAACACTGGAGAGCTGCTGCCAGTCAGTGTAGACAGTATGGAGCTAAGTGGCCAAGTTTACTATTCTCTTGTGTATATGAGGGTCATGAAGGAAAAGAATCATTTGTGAGCTATTTTCCTAAAACAGTAAGATGGAGAGTGTCTAGTGTGCATATGGGGATACTCGTGTGCTTCTAATTCTCTGTATTTCCTGTTTCTCAAGATACCTTGTTTCAAACAATCTACTTTCCTGAACAGGCCAAGGGAAAGTGGCAGCCAGTAGACGAAGCAGAAGACGCCCGTGCCTAAGAAGAAGGTTGCAAGGAGCCCAGTTGGACCACAGCCAGGATGATAATGTTTGATACTTGCAAGGAGCCAGACCTGTGCATTGTCTATGGGGAACCCATCAGGCAAAAGCCCATCATCCACAAGAGAACGGGGGGTCAGCAGGAAGCCCACCCAGTTGATGAGGAGGATGAACCCCTTTTTCATGGAGGAAGTTCCAGAGCCTCCTGGAAAATCACAGTACAGACAATTCCTGGTGCTGCTAAGGAGAAGGATGTGTGCATTGTGGGTGAGGAGAACATCTGGCACTACCCCAACACCTGCGAGAGAAATATGTGTTTGCAGAAAATGAGCTCAGGGGAGGGTCCAGTTTACAGCAAAGGAATCTCCAGTGTCCCAAGTAAAACTCCAGCCCAGGCTGTTGTTGATGCCACAGCCAGGATGATGATGCTTGATACTTGCAAGGAGCCAGACCTGTGCATTGTCTATGGCGAACCCATCAGGCCAAAGCCCATCATCCATAAGAGAACTGAGGGTCAGCAGGAAGCCCACCCAGTCGAGGAGGAGGAGGAGGATGTACCCCTTCTTCATGAAAGAAGTTGTAGATCTCCCTGGGAAATCACAGTGCAGACAATTCCTGGTGCTGCTAAGGAGAAGGATGTGTGCATTGTGGGTGAGGAAAACATCTGGCAGAACCCCAACAACTGTATAAGAAAGGCGTGTTTGCAGGAAACCCACTCAGTGGAGAGTCCCGTTCACAGCAAACTAGACTCCAGAGTCCCCAGCGAACCTCCAGCCCAGACTGTTGTTGATGCTGCTAAGGGACAAGACATCTGCATTGTGTCTGAGCAACGTGTCCTACAAAAGCCCATCATCCATATCAGAATTGGGTATGCTAAGGAAACACACCCAGGGAAGGATGTAGTTAAGCCTGTTGCAGGCGGAGAAGAATGGAAAGGCCCCAATCAATCTACTTTCCAAGCCGTTCTTAATGCTACCAAGGAACAAGACTCCTGCGTTGGGTACGAGGAAATGGTTAGTCAGAAGCCCATTTTTCAAGGAAGGGCCCCCAGTGAAGCCACAGCTCAGAGAGGTATGGATACTGGTAAGTAATGGGACTCCCAGGTAATGCATATTGGGGAGGGAAGTCCCAGGCAGAATTCCTTCTGAGCTCCAGGCCTTAATGACAAGAACAGAAGGCTAGTTTGAGGTCATCCCATGCTACACCAACTTAGAGTACACCCACTAAAAGTAATGGACTGTCATAGAACCCACTCTATGTAGGTTCTTTTTGCTGGGGAAACAATACTGCTCTTGAGGTGTGTGTGTGTGTGTGTGTGTGTGTGTGTGTGTGTGGCTTGTGCAGAAATTTTAAAAAAGAAATTATATACAGTGGTACCTCAGGTTAAGTACTTAATTCGTTCCGGAGGTCCGTTCTTAACCTCAAACTGTTCTTAACCTGAAGCACCACTTTAGCTAATGGGGCCTCCTGCTGCTGCTGCACCGCCGCACCACATTTTCTGTTCTCATACTGAAGCAAAGTTCTTAACCCAAGGTACTATTTCTGGGTTAGCGGAGTCTGTAATCTGAAGTGTATGCAACACGAGGTACCACTGTATTACATCTCTGATACCAATTTAACTTTGAGCTCCAACAATTCAGTTTGAAATCTAGATTTTTTATTTTCAAAATCTAAATTTCTTTTATCTCCATTAAATATATCATTTACTTGATGATTTTGCAACCAACCCATAAGTACTTCTTCTATTTGATTATATGATTGAAGTTTTAATCCTTTATTGGTTTCCATCCATATCTCACCGTAGGTGGCCCACCTTACCTCCATATTTAATTTTTTAACACTCAATGCCCCTATTGGCGATAGCCACCATGGTGTTTTCCATTCTAACAGATTTTTATATTTGTCCCAAACTTCATAAATTGACTTTCTTATCGCGTGATTTAGAAACCCTTTATAAACTTTTACTTTGTCATACCAAAGGTAAGAATGCCACCCAGATCTGTTATCATAACCTTCCAAGTATAAATCCGTATTTCCAATGTTATCCACTCTTTCAACCAACACAGGCAGGACGCCTCGTAATAGAGTTTCAAATCTGGCATTGAGAATCCACCTCTTTCTTTTTTTATCTATTAAAAGTTTAGATTTTATCCTTGGTTTTTTCCTTTGCCAGATGAACCTCAGTAGTACTTTTTGTCATTCCATAAATTGCCCTGGTCCTTTATTTACCAGTATCATTTGGAATAAAAACAAGATCTTGAGTTTTATATATATGTAAGGCTGCTGGGAAAGCGTTCTGGGCTATCTGCAGGCCCCCCCCCCCCCGATCTCTGAGTGTCCTCTGGAGAGCATAGCTCTGGAAAGGCATTCCCTTCTTCTCCAGGGCGCTCCAGCGACATAAACCAACTTGATTTATGCACGCTAATCTTCTGGCAATGCACAGCAAGAAGAATGAACCATCTGTAGATCTAAACTATGTATTTATTTACACTATATTACACAGACACAGAATCATGACGCTCTCTCTCATTCAGCACCGAAAGAGAACAGAGTACATCACATAATACATATAGATAGGACTATATCCAGTTCTCATGCTTCCTTTCCGACAGACCGTGTGATTTCCACTAATTACAAAATGCAGCCTCAGAAGAGTGAAATTGCTAACAAAGGCTTGTGCAGAAATTTCTCAATTTAACTATGTACTTTTTGATGTTTCATTTGTTGCTCATAGTATTTTGCTGTATTTTCTACTCCAAAGAACTAGAAAAGTTTCTGTCAGGAGATGGTGTGGTTGCTCAAGAGCAAGCAGGCAAGACTCCAACCTGTCTTTTCCAGGCTTTATTATCTGTACAACCTATCTTACAGTGAAGAGCGTCACAAGTCCATGTCTGCTCAGTCGCTAGCAGAATCTGGGAGTGGGCGGTCCTTATACCTTACCCAGCATAACAGTCGTGTGACCCCCATCCTTCTCCTCTCTCTCTGTGCGCAAACCTACTGCACAACGTGGACACTGGCAAAGGGGTACTTGCCCCCCATCCCCTTTGCTCAGGCTCGGTGTTGAGGCTCTCCCTAGCATCTTCTGATCCCTGCACCCCTTCCCTCCTCGCAGAGGAAGAACCGCTTCGCAAGATCTTCGGGGGCTCCCTGTAATATAACTGCTCTTTCACTACTCACCTCTGAGCTGATGGCAGTTCCCTGACAGTTTCAGTGCATCAGGAATCAGAAATCTTGCTCTAACCAGGAGGAACAACATAGCTATGCTCCCTAAAGCCAATCTAAGCTTGCAACTGGACACTGATGAAACTTTGGCTCTGTCATAGAACCCACTCTATTTAGGTTCTGCTTGCTGGGGAAACAGCAGGACTGTTTGCTGGGGAAGCTGTACTGTTCTTGAGTTGTATACAGTGTGTGTGTGTGTGTGTGTGTGTGTGTGTGTGTGTGTACACACACACACACACACACCAACCATATTTTTTGCTCTATAAGACGCATCAGACCATAAGACGCACCTAGTTTTTGGAAGAGGAAAAAAGGGGGGGGAATCTGAATCCCAGAAGCCAGGACAGCAAGCGGTATCACTGTGCAGCCCTGGCTTATGGGGTAGCCACTCACAGCCTCTGCCCGAGAGAGGCTGTGCGCGGCTAAGCAAGAAGCCAAGACAGCCAGCGGGATCGCAGCGCTTTTCCTCCTCGGGAAAAGCCCCCAAGAGCCACACACACACTCCACACGGCTCTTTAAGGGGAGCGCTGAGCAGAGCCTCCCACCTGCATTCGCTCCATAAGACGCACACACACTTCCCCTTACTTTTTAGGAGGGTAAAAGGGTGTCTTATTGAGCGAAAAATACAGTAAGCCTTGTAGACAAATTTTTCAATTTAGCTGGGTACTTTTTGATTTTTTGTTATTTGTTCACAACTACTTTCCCTATGTTCGTAGTCTGCTACTTTGGCTGTATTGTCTGCTCTTGAGCACTAGAAAAGTTTCAAAGTACCAAGAATTAGAAATCTTGATCTAACCTCATGATGGACAAAAAATATAGCTATGCTTCCTAAAGGCAATGTAAGCTTCCACCTGCAGACTGAGAAAATATTCGCTCTAAAGATTAGGAACTTGCTGGTGAATCTGATGCAATGGCAAAACCAGACTCAGGATATTGAGCAGAGTGGAAAGAAAGGTCACCCATGATGGCAACTCATTGCCCGCTTTGGCAGCAATGGCCCCAAAAGTGTAACAAAATATGAAATATATTAGATTGAATCACTCTGTTTCCATCTCTCTATAACATCCATGTTTTCCTTCTCTCTTATCCAGCAGGTGTTGTGCAATGGAGAGAGAACAGAAGGAAATCTTCAAAAAAAGCACAGGATGAGATGGTGGAGCAGAACCTCCTGAGTCACAAAGGACCAAGGAGGGAAAAGAGAAGCCACAGAAAACGGAAGACAGACAAATCCATCGTTCCTCAAAGTAGCTTCTTCACTGAGCAAGGAGAACAACCAGAAAACAGAGATGCTTTGAGAACATCCACAAAGGAGAAAACAATTCAAAGGGCAGAGTCTGGAGAAATAAGCAGTGGGAGCAGAAACAATGGAAACAGCCCCACATGCCCTACAGAGGTGAAGCGATTTACTTGTTTGGAGTGTGGAAGGAGCTTCAGGTATCAGAAGCAGTTTGCTGCCCATCAGAAGATTCACACAGGACAGAAATCACATAAATGTGCAGACTGTGGAAAGAGCTTCCGCAAGAAATGGAACCTTAAAGTACATAAAATAACCCACACAGGGGAGAAGCCTTTCAAATGTACAGTGTGCAAGAAAAGCTTTAATGTGAGATCAAACCTTAATGCACATCAAAGAACTCACACAAGGGTGAAGCCCTACAAATGTTCTGTGTGTGGGAAACGTTTCGCACGCAGCTCATACCTTAATGCACATCAAAGAACTCACACAAGGAAGAAGCCCTACAAATGTTCTGTGTGTGGGAAACGTTTCGCACACAGCTCATACCTTACAGTACATAAGAGAACTCACACAGGGGAGAAACCTTTCAAATGTTCAAAGTGTGAGAAAAGTTTCAATTACAGCTCAAACCTTACTAAACATAAAAGAACTCACACAGGGGAGAAACCTTTCAAATGTTCAGTCTGTAATAAATGTTTTGCTCAGACGTCAAACCTTACTAGTCATCAGAGCATTCACAAAGGGCAGAAACCCCATGAATGCTCAATATGTGGAAAGAGCTTCACCCGTAAATCAAACCTCAAGAGGCATCAAAAGTACCACACAAGGGAGACGCCCAACCAGGGTTCAAATCTCAGTCAGAGTTTAGATGATGAATCGAGACCTCATGAAGGTGAGAACGCACAGCGGATTTAAACTGTGTAACTTCAACTATGCTAAGAAGGTCGCATCCACACAATACTTTTAAAGGAATCCTGGGAACTTCAGTTCTTAAGGGAGCTGGCAATTGTAGGTCTATGAAGTACAAACTACTGTTTCCAGAATTCTTTTAACAAACCATAGAAAAGCTATAAATGTGCTTTAAAGGGGTGGTGCGAATGTGACCTCAGCCTCAGTGTCCATCTTTTGGGTGTCGCAGGAGCCACCCAGAGGCCTGTCCCTACCTGAACCTCCCAATACACCCACATAATACATGCTTTGGGCAGGTTCTTGAGTCTTTTAAGTGACTAAAACTCATTGCCTCAACTGGGTTGTTGTTTATTGTTTGTGTGGATTCCATGTGATAGTTGAAAAGTTTTTTTACATATAATAAAGTGCCTTCATTTTAGTAAGTTATGCTATGAAAATTGCTCTTGGGAGAATCTAGAGAAAACTCAGCTCTTTCCTTGGCCACAGCAAAGTCAACCAGCACCTTTCTCTCTTGACACTGGGAATTTCTCCCCAATAAATTCATCCGGCTGAATTAAGCATGTTGGGGATAATTTACGTGATTCTTTAGGCTTTTGAAACCAAAGAGAAGGATTGACCCAAGGAAGGAAGGGAAGTTTGAAAGGCTTCAGAGGCTTCCCCGTTGGAAATGTAAAATTGGCACAGTAGCTGCTTCTGCTTTTTAGATTTGTTTTGAGACTACCAATCCTGAATAATAAAGTTGTATAAATATTACATTTTGTACTCTTCTGTTTTCTCTGGCTCCTCACAACAAAAATGGATGCAGCTTTCCAATTTAGGTTGCAGTTTGTAGCACACTCAGCACACATTCACACCATAATGATTAATAAAAATAATTTTAATAATTATAAGTACACTCAAAGGAAGGGAGAAGCAGCTTTTGAGGCCTCGGGGGATTCCTATTGCCTGGTATCTAAACCACTCACAAATCACTCACAGCTCTGCATTCACTCATTGGCTGAAAGGCTGGTGCCTAAAAATAAGGAAGGAAGGAAAGAAGGAAGGCACCAGGAGAAACAACCTGGGAAGAGTGTTGCAGGAGTGAGGAGGCACCTCAGGAAAGGCCTCTTCTCAGGTTGCCAGGCTCCCGGCCTCTCGTGTCGGAGGCACACGGAGGAGGAGGAGTCTTTTTTTAAGAAAGCTACAAAGGTTGATGTTATTATGTTGACAATATGTGAAACCAAGCCACAATTTAAAAACAAAAGGAGAAAACTATAAATCAAAGTGCAAGAGGGAAAAAGAGGGCATTTCTTTTTCTCTCTCTGCTGTTTAATTTCTCTTTTCAGATCACACTTCTGCCCTGCCACAGTTTGTTTTTCTGTGGACTCTAATTCCCAGCAGCCTTTGCACTTCCCACAGAAACGATTAACACCTGGCCTCATTTAGCTGAGCAATCACCCAAGTGGGACAGTGAAGGGGCTTGAGATGAAGAAGGAAAGTCAGTGAATTCACCAATATCTACCAGAAGGGGTGAGCTGGAGCCTACCAAGAACTCAAGATAAGACATGCTGGGATTGGGTAGAAAATTCTGGACTGGGGGTCCCTGTTTTTCCCCTCTTTCTTCTCCTTTGTGGCATTTGAAATGCAGACTTGATCTCACAAGGGGCTGCTGCTCTGGGCCTCGAGTGTAGACGTTCCTTATCCCTAAGGGGACCTGGGTGAGTCAAAGGAGGAAGAGTGCAAGAGAGGGAATTCTTCCCATGGATGGGTAAACTGGGGTCGGGTCGGGCAGGTAGCTTCTTTCCCCTTGCCTTTTGCATTAATTAAATATTACACAATGATTGCTTAAGGGAGAGTCCTTAGCCCCAAGGGGACCTGGGTGAGTCAAAGGATGACAGCCCTTTGGAAGAATGAGAAAGTGAAAACATGGGATTTCTCACTGTGCAGGAGGAGGAATGTGGGTAGCAAGGAAGGGTGCAAGAGAGAGACTTCTTCCCCTGGGAGGTTGAGATGGGGTGGGGTCCGGAAGGCAGCCTCTTGCCTTTTGTGTTTTTATTAGTTTTTCAATTAGATACTCCACATACACATACACATACACATACACATACACATACACATATTGTATTACATTTTACATTTATACTTGCTCTTCAAAGCTGACTTGCCTCCTTCTTTTTTCTGGTTTTTTATATCACATATAATTTTATCGCATTATTTTCTTCCATTTTATATATTGTTATCATTTTCCATATTTGAGCATAGTGTATCCATAAACAAATAAGTCCTCAGGTTTATACAATTCTTGTTGTCAATCTGTATTCATTTACCACTACTGTTATATTAGCTTCCTTATACATTTTGCTGCTTATTATTTTCATTATCCATCACTTTTCTTAATCTTTCCCGTTATTAGGTTTGTTTCCAATTCTACTAGTTTTACTATTTCATCTTTTCTTTCCTTTATACAACATAATTTTTTCCAATTCTTTTTGAAATGTTTCCTCACCCTGTTGTCGAATTTTCCCTGTTAGTTTGGCTATTTCTGCATATTCCATTACCTTCTGTCTCCATTCTTCTACTGTTGGTAATTGCTTCTGTTTCCAAAACTACGCTAACAGGAACCTTGCCGCTTTTGTTGCATATAAAAGCAGTTTCTGGTCGTTCTTAACCAGATCTTCTCCTAACATTCCTAACAAGAATGCCTCTGGCTTTTTCAAAAACATATATCTAAATATCTTCTTTAGCTCATTGTATATATTTTCCCAGTACGTTTTTACCTTATCACATGACCACCGCAAGTGAAAGAAATCACCTTCTTTCACCCCACATTTCCAGCAATTCTTGTTTCCTGTTTTGTACATCCTTAACAGTTTAATTGGAGTGAGGTACCATCTGTACATCATTTTTAACAGATTTTCTTTTAACAAAGTGCATGCTGTGAATTTTAGTCCAGTGTTCCATAATTTTATCCACTTCTCATATTCAATGCTATGGCCAACATCCATTGCCCATTTAATCATGACGCTCTTGATTTCTTCGTCTTTTGTACACCATTCTAATAAAAACTCACAGACCTTTGACAATATTTTTGTGTTTTGTAATATTGCAGTTTCTAATATTGATTTGGTTTGTTCGAAACCTCTTGCTTTTTTATCTTTTGAGAAAATGTCATTCATTTGGTGATACTCCATCCAACCTGATAATTTATCTTTTAGTTCCTCCTAAGGCCTGATCTTGATTACATTATTTTCTTCTATAAATATGTCTCTGTGCGCTAGCCATTCTCCTTTCATATTTAATTTTTTCATTGAGAAGGCTTCTTGGGGTTACAGCCACCATGGTGTTTTCCTTTCAAACCACTCTTTATATCTCTTCCAAACTTCATACAATGATCTTTTTATAATATGATCTAGAAAGTCTCGGTGTACTCCATCCTTGTCATACCAAAGGTACGCGTGCCACCCGTATCTATTTCCAAATCTCTCTAGATCTAATACGTCTGTGTTCTTCAAACTAAGCCATTCTTTTAACCATGTTATAGAAGCGGCTTCATAATATATTTTAAGATCCGGTAATGAGAAGCCTCCTCTTTCCTTTTTATCCGTCAGAAGTTTAAACTTTATTCTAGGTTTCTTCCCTTGCTATACAAACCTAGAAATCATTTTTTGCCACTCATTGAATTGACCTAATCCGGCAACAATAGGCACAGTTTGGAATAAAAAAAAGCATCTTAGGTAAGACACTCATCTTGACAGCTGCTATCCTTCCCCCGAAGGACACTTTCAATCTGTCCCATATTTCCAAATTTGTCTTTCTTTCTTTCCATGTTGTTTTATAATTGTCCTTGAATAGGTTTGTGTTTTTCGGGGAGAGCCAGACCCCCAAATATTTTATTTTCTTTACCACTGTTATTTCCGTTTTACTTTGCAGGTGACCTGTTTGTTCCACGTTCATGTTTTTCACCATCATATTTGTTTTACCCTTATTAATTTTCAATCCTGCCAACATTCCAAATTCTTCAATTACTTTTAATGCTTCCGCTGTCAAAGTTAAATGTTCTTGTACTGTCAAGACTATATTGTCGGCGAAGGCTTTAACCTTATATTCTTTTCCGCCACACTTTATCCCTGTAATTCTTTCTGTCTCTCTTATATTTACATTTTTCACTAAGGGGGAGCTTGTTTAAGGCAGACCTGCAACCCAGAGTCCACAACAGAAAGGAAAAGAGGGACAGGGTGTGTATTAGGGCTTCTGCAGGTGGAGGTTGCTACATTTCCTGGAGCAAAGATCAAAAGAGTCTTAGGAGGGAGGAAGGCAGCTCAGTGGTAGAGTGCCTCCCTTACATTGCAAAAGGTGGCACGTTCAATCCCCAGTATCTCCATGTAGGGCTTGGGAGAGGCTTCCTGTATGAAACCCTGGAGAGCAGCTTCCAATCAGTGTAGACAGTACTGAGCTATCCGGAGCGATGTGGGGTGAGCAGCGCGGTGCTTCGAATCATCTGCTTCTTCCACGGAGCGAAGCCGCATAGCTGTTGCCGGAGAGCGCTGACCTTTTCCTGTGGACAATTTGACTTTAAAGTAATTACCCGTGAGTAGAGCTGAAGCGGAAGAATTGGATTTCTAAACGTTTAATTTGGTATCGTAACGGGGAGGTTCAATACAGGAGGTCCGCCTTCCCCTTTTGTAAATAGACTGAGGCAATGAGGTTGCAAGCTGGAGTCCTGGAAAGCCTTTTGTAAAAGACTAAATTTCCATCGGCAAAGAACATTAACCCCCCCCCCTTGGAGGCAGGAGAAGGGGGGGGAGTTGCGGACTGAGTATGCCTGTGGGAGAGAGCGAAGAGAGCTAAAATACCGCTGCTCTGACCCTGAAAACGGGCTGCTAGCAGGACTGACGTCTTTTGGAATGTTCATTGACAGCTAGCTAAATAAGAGAAATACATTGTTTCTACTGTCTCCGGCTGCTTTAAAAAGGAGTAAAAGTAACTGAAAATTGAAACTAACTTTGGATTGTTTGAATTGTGTTTAA